AGAGATACAATTTTTCAAAAAGTAAGTTTTCATAAAACTGATCTTTTTTGGGTGAGGGTGGTCAAGAAAAAAGTTTTGCATTGCCATAATAGTAGAATATTTGTAAATCTGTTAAATTTAGGGAGATTAAAAAAATGCAGTTTGATGAAAGTGCTTCATGGAGACACTCTTCTTTTTCTATAATCCTTTCATATATATATATACATATATATATATTTCCTTTTTTAAATAAAACTTTATTCTAATTGGGTATAAAAGATGTCAAGACTACAGTTGTTGGTCTATTTCATACCCACAATCTTTTGTTATCATGGATCCTTTCCTTCATAAAAAATATACAAAATGTATATTTTTTGAGTGTATTGGTTAATATGAATATAATACAAGTTGCATTTAAACTATATTAATATTTTTATTTTAAAGAAATAAGTATTTTGGGAACCAGCAGTTAGTGTAATGGCTATGTCACTGGACTCCCAAGTAGTCGACCATGGTTCGTGTCCCAGATCCGGTGGCTTAGAACTCATGCTGGGCGCGTGTGCGTGCGTGCCCAAGATCCCGAGAGGAGAATGGAGGAGAAGGGATTGCGGTGTGACCATCCCCCCTGGAGGGTGATTTCTCACTTTCTGTCTCTATGTCTCTCTGTCTGGCGAGCGCACACACCCTATAGAGAAAACCTCTCCAAAAAATAAAAGAAATAAGCATTTTAGGGGCTCCTAGAAGTATCATGGACTCTCAGTGCTGTTCCTTCTCTGCCTTAATTTGCCAGCTTGGCCCACTATATGTGCTCCTAATAAAACTTGATGCAGACAGAATAATTGATCTCTCAAGTTAATCATTCAAGAAAGGGACCACTAGGATTCTTGCCCAATTGTTGAAATCATAGAACTTACTTATCATCACTTTTCATTATTTGGCCCCAGAGTTTCTTCATGACACTTTTTACTTCTTCATTTCTGAGGGTGTAGATTAAAGGGTTCAACATAGGTGTTACTAGGGTACAAAACACAGTCACAGCTTTGTCAGTGGGGAAGGAGGTCATGGGTCTTAAGTACAAGTATGAACAGGGTACAAAGAATAAGATAACAACAGTGATATGAGAGGCACAGGTAGAAAGGGCTTTGCGACGCCCTTCAGAGCTTCGAGTCCTCAGGGAGTGCAAGATGATGACATAGGAGGTAACCAGCATAGAAAAAACAAGAAAACACAGGGACCCACTGTTAGCGGCAATCAGGGGCCCTAAAATGTGAGTATCTGTGCAAGCCAGCTCCAGGAGAGGTATCAAATCACACATAAAGTGATCGATGACATTGGGGCCACAGAATGGTAACTGGACCATGAACAAAATTTGAATCCCTCCATGAACAACCCCCAGAACTCCAGCCACTCCCACCAAAAATCCACACACAGATTGGCTCATGATGGTCACATAGTGCAAGGGCTTACAGATGGCCACGTAGCGGTCATAGGCCATGGCAATTAACAAGATAATCTCAGCCGCAGCAAAGAAATGTTCAGCAAAGAGCTGAGTCATGCATCCACTGAAGGATATGGTGTTCTTTTCAGAGATCAAGTCAAAGATCATTTTGGGTGCTATGGAAGAAGAATAGAAACCATCTATAATGGACAGATAGGACAGGAAAAAATACATGGGAGAACCCAGGGCAGGGCTAATGAAAATGGTGACTGAGATGAGCAGGTTACCTGCCAATGTGATCAGGTAGATAAATAAAATCACAACGAACAAGAATTTCTGCAGTTCAGGATTCTGGGTCAGGCCTAGGAGGATGAATTCTGTCACATTACTCATCCTTCCCATAAATTTAGTTTGGGTCGTAGGCATACGGTATACCTGGAAAAAAAATCAATATGTCTGAGTGATTTTATTTTTAATTCAATATAAAACATTTTATCACCTCTTCAGTCCTTGTCTGTGGAATTGATGAAACTGTACTTCCACTCATGTCCTCTATTTTGCAGAGTTGCAAAGAAAAGAATGATGTGAGATTTCTCCTAATCCATATTCATGGGATAATAACAATATCTTACAAATACCACAATAATAGCAAGGTCTTATGATGACTATTGATTTATAATTGACTTCCAAACACTTAGAGGCCCAAAAGTCTCATAGAAGACTTCTTTTTACTTAGAACAAATTTCATGAATAATAATAATTTTGTTATACTTGTCTATTGTTAATATTTATAGGTATATGAACATAATATTCTCTTGATGACTATGTATGAGATATACAAGTGTCAGACCTTGCTAAATCTAAGCAAGCTGCAATCTGTGATGTATTGTTCGTTCCTGTTAAATGTATGCACTTGCACAAAGATCGAGGCAGAGCTACAGATGGAGTTTTCACCTTCGAAATGCCTGGTCTTTATCCTATCCAGTGCACTGAGCAGCAACCACTCAACAATCCTGGAGTTTGTGTCTCACACTGTGAGATCCTTCTTTCATGATCACTATTTCCACATTTTTGGATATAGATATGTAAGTGGAAAAAAGCTCCCTGAAAATTTCACAATTATACCTAAACTTTTTTTCACACTGTGTCTTTCATCACATATAGAATTACACTGTGAATTAAATAAATCTCCCCAAATTTACAGATGGAGCCCAATTAGTCATAGAGTTTCTCAGAGTTTTATATTGGTAAGAGAAATGTTATAGTTCCTTGAAATAGTAAATTTTTTCCTTTTATAATCAGTGAAGATAAATTTAAGGTGTTCATTGCTAACTGGTAGAAATGTTTTTGAGTGAGTACATGTTATTACAAGAGAGCATAAGATATTATTTTATTCTT